GGCTAACTGATTTTTTTTAAAAAATTTATTTATTTATTTGACAGAGAAAGAAAGAGGGAGAGAGAGAGCACAAGCAGGGGGAGCAACAGGCAGAGGGAGGGGGGGAAGCAAGCTCCCCACAGAGCAGGGACCAATGTGGGACTCAATCCCAGGACCATGACCCGAGCTGAAGGCAGACACTTAACTGACTGAGCCACCCAGGTGCCCCATGGCCAACTGATTTTTTGACGAAGTTGCAAAGGCAATTCAATAGAGGAAGGAAAGTCTTTTCAATAAATGGTTGATGGAGCAAAGGATGTATCTTAAACAGTTTTTGATTCAAAAATATATAGTATTCCTTGTGCACCTTCTCTGCACCAGACGCTACTTCAAGTCCTAGGGGCATAGCCATGAATACAAAGAAAAGTCCCTGTTTTGGGGATGCTGACATTGTCATGGTCCCCAAGAGAAATTCTGGGTGCTGGAGAAGGAATGTGGGCACCTGGGATGAAAGACAGGGTAGAAGCCAGCTCCAGAAAAGGAATGCAGATGCCCTGACCTTCAGCTGGCTGGGTCCCCTTCCTTTCCTCAAAGATGGCATTGTGGAAATTAGTAGGCTATCCATGTGGACAGAGCTGCATCCCACCTCTCGCCTCTGCCCCCTGGCATACTGCTCACCCATCGATGACTAGTAGGTGTCCTCCCTTCATCAGGCTGCTGTGGGGTCCGCCTGAATGGGTACAGTAAAAATGGTGCAGGGTGGGGCCTGGCACCTGTCAGTCATGATGTTACCCTGTGTGCCCATGAATCTTTCCAGAGCCTACAAGGGTTCTGTGAAGAAAAGCAGAGAGATGCTGGACCAGACAGAGATCGGGGAGCAGAGAGAGGGTGCAAGGACCCCCCCACCCCCACCACTACCTGCATGGTGTACTCAGAAAAACACCTTAGTGGGAGTAAAGATTTGCCAGTTTCTCCCAATCTGGATGATCTAGACATACTCCCAATTTTCTGCTTGAAGTTATGGAGAAGTTGGGGGTTCTTTGTGCTGGAAGGGGTTTCAGAACCCATCAGCCAAGTGACCTGAACAGGAGGCAGCTGCGTGGCAGGCAGAGTGGGACAAGGGACAAAGTTAGACCCAAGTGTCACCACTTCTGGTCTGCGTAACCTTGGGCAAGTTACATAAGCCTTCCAAGACTCGATTTCCTCATCTGGAAAGTGGGGAAAGCGTAAGTCAGACATTAAAGTCGATGCAAGGATCAGTGTCAGTGGCCCGGCGTGGGCGAGGACTGCACCAGAGAGCAGAGCACATTAGGACAAGCTGGGTTTGAAACCTGTTCAGGAGCCAGGTGACATTGAACATGGGGCTCCACTCCTCTTTAGAAATGAGATCATAAGTCCTGCCCACTGGATTATCTTGATCACTGGAAATAATATAGCTAAGGACCTGGTGACAAGTTTGGCACATAGCGGATGCATAATAGACTGTGGTCTCTGTTATCACCCTGGGTCCTTGTAAATCCATTTTAAATAAAGCCTAACCTAGCCTCTAAGAGAGTGCCAGACTCTTAGGAGACATTTGATAAGTATTTGTTGAGTGAAGAGCTACATAAATGGATTTGAACTCTATCTGTAAATGAACAGCGCTGAAGGAATGGCTCAGCCATCCACCCCAAACACAGTGCAACCCTACACCCAGTCTCAGGGGCTCAGGGAGAGTCCCTGATGCCAGTGCCTCTTCCCAAAATGATGTCATCACAATCTCCTGGAGGAAGGGCATATATCCAGGCCAGTCGCTGAGGCCCAGGTGCCAGAGGGCATTGGGCAACCCCAACACAGCCTTGCTTCATCCACTGAGCAGCCCCACCAGTGATTCTGCTTTTCTGCAGGGAAAGGGGCCCCTTCCTGCAGCGTTTCTGGCCTGGGCTTTGAGCCAGCTGCCCTCATGTACCAGACAGTTTGCTTCCCAAACTTCCCAAGGTCAATGCCTTCCATGAGGTAACAACCAGGCTGGGTTCTGAGGGATCCTTGCAGGAAGCTGTCTCAGGGGCCCTGCCCTGGGGTCCAGTGCTGGGCTGGGTGCCAGAGAACAACACTCCGGTGTTTAGTGAGCATCTACTAGGAGTCAGGAGCTGTTCTGGGCACCGGAGGTGCAATTGAAACCTAGAGAAGCCCTGCTTTCATGGCTGATTGGGGGACAGACATTTAAACACACACACATAATGATAAGCTGTAACAAATTTCAGGAAAAAAACAAAATGCCCTGTAAGGGGGAATAAAGAGGAGCAAAGATCAACCCATGAAGTTCCTGCAAAATAGCCACAGACATGGACACAATTTGTTGTTTTTTTTTTTTAATATTTTATTTATTTATTTGAGAGAGAGAGAGCAGGGGGACGGGCAGAGGGAGAGGGAGGAAGAATCCCAAGCAGACCCTGCGCTGAGCATGGAGCCCGACGCGGGGCTCGATCCCACGACCCTGAGATCATGACCTGAGCTGAAACCAAGAGTCGGACACCTAACCGACTAATTCACCCAGGTGCCCAGACTGAAGCCCTAACCCCCCAACGTGGTTTTTGGAGAGGGGGTCACAGTAGGTAATCCATTGTGAGGGTGGGTTTCCCTAAAGAGACACCAGAGAATTAGCTCTGTCCATCTCTCTCTCTCCTCTCTCCCCCCGCCATGCCAGGGCACAGCAAGAAGACAGCCGTCTGCAAGCCAGGAGGAGGGTCCCCCCTAGAACGCCACCATGCTGGCACCATGATCTAGGACTCCCAGCCTCCAGAACTGTGAGAAAATACATTTCTGTTGTTTAAGCCCCCAGCCTAGGCTGTTTTGTGATGCAGCCGAGCTCTGACAGGGAGCAGCGGGGCAGTGATGCACCTGGGGATGTTGGGGCGGGCGGTGCCCGTGCTCCCCGTGGGTCTGTCTGCCCTTGGCCCCCCTGCCAACTGCAGAGTCTTTCGTCCCTGCCCTGCCACGCCAGAGCCCGTGAGTCCGCAAAAAGGCTTTGCTTCCGAAGGATGGCTGCTTTCCCTGTGTGTGGGCATGCAGGCGTGGGTGTTTGACGAGGCGCCACCCTGTGAAATAGCAAACAGCAGTAATGCACCTCTCTTGCGTCCCTTCCTGCAGGTGGCTCCTCTCCGTCTCGGGTGGAGGATCCCGGGGCTTCTCCTTTGTCCGTCCACGCTCATTCCCCAGGGAAGCTCTAGGTGTTGACATCCCAGATTTATCATTCCCAGCCTGATCCTCTCAAACTCCAGAATCATGTGTCCAACCAACAGCCTGCAGGGCATCCCCACACAGACTCGAATGGACAGCTCACACTTGGCGTGACCAGGACCAAACTCCTGAGAGCCACACCGTCTGCAGCCACCCCCTGCCCCCCAGTCCTCCTTCTCAGTTGGTGCCAGTTCCGTCCCTCCAGGGGCTCAGGCCTCCCTGGACCTTGGAGAACTCCTTGATTCCTCGCTTTTGCGATGCCCCGCATCCGGCCCACCTGCAAATCCTATTGGCTGTACTGTCAGGGTATGTCCAGAACCTAACTGCTTCTCCCCTCCTCCATGGCCAGCACTGTGCCCTGTGCCCTATCATCTACCACCTGCCGGAGGGCAGCAAGCTCCTCACTGGTCTCCCCGTGGTTGATTCTCCCGCAGCAACCAGACAGATCAGACTGTGGGCCTCCTCTACTCAAAATGTCCCCATGTCTCCCCACGTCACTTGGGGGAGATGCCAAAGTCCTCACAACTCCTGCAAGGCCTTTTGTGATCCGTGCCCCCACCTCCTGGTACTGCCCTCCCTCCCCCCCTCCTCCTCCACTGCCTTCCAGCCCCCTCGAGGCATGTCCCTGCCTCAGGGCCTTTGCACCTTCTCCCCCCCAATATCCACATTGTCACCTCCCTCTAGTCTGCTCACATGTCCCCTCCTCGGACCACCCTATTTGAAATGGCAATCCAACCCTTTCCATGCCCCATTGTTTCACTTTTCCACGATGCTAACACACTAGGTAATTCACTTATTATATTTAGTGCCTATTGGCTCTCTCCTTCTAGTAACAAAAGCTCCATGAAGGCAAGATATTTGTCTTTGTTCTCTTTGCATCCTCAGCGCCCGGAAAAGGGCCTAGCAAACAGTAGGCAATCAGGAAATATTTGTGGATTTAATAAAACTACTTTAGGCTTGTTCTCTCTGTGGCTTATTCATAGCCAATGTAAACCCCCAAATGCTGAAGAAAAATGGGGGAAAAAGGAAAGATAGAAAACCACCCCAGGAGACCTTACGCTTGGGGTAGAGCCCGGCGCCTGTGGCTGACTTGCTGTGTGACAGTGGGCAGCTGGCACAGAAGATGGGCTTTGAGCCTCAAGAAGGTGGTTTGGGGCCCGGATGCCAACTCTACCCGTTGTGGAGCCTTGGGAGTATTACTTGGCTTTTCTGTGGCTCAGTTTCTTCTGTAACATGGGAATCAGAGCGACTGTGACCTGAGACGGCTGCCCCGAGGACCAGGTGGGGAAATAACGATAGTGTTTACCCCACAAGCCTGCCTCACTGGGTCAGTCCATGTGAGGGGCGGAGGGAGCTCCCCGGTGCACAGAAGAGACCCAAGAAGGTGAGCTGTCACATGGGTGCCTCAGCCTGGGGAGACCCGTCCCAAGCCAGCTTCGTCCTCGAGTGTGTAGCCCAGGGGTCTCCCGAGCTCCCTGCATTTCTCGCCTCTTCCCCTCTGATATCCATGTTGGATGGACCCAGGTGTTCACGGCCCCAGGCATGCAGGGGGCTGTGACATGAGGACCCAGACCTGTGCCCCCATGTCTCCTGGGCCCCTGGCCCTTCCCAGGAGACTGACAGAGCCAGTCTGCCATGACTCTGGCATTGACACTCATGCGGGTCGGAGGGGCAGCTCCTGGGCTGGAAGAGTGGAGAGAGTACACGCCCTGGGAGCTGAGTGGGGAGGGGCTAAGTGGCCTGTAAACCACAGGTGCTGACTCATGGTTCTGCTGGGCCCTATAAAGGAACTGGCCAAGGGGCTTCCTGCAACTGGAGGGACGGGCTGGTGGGACTATGGCCCAGGGTGCAGTGATCCATGTGACCCCGGAGCAGTCCGCCTATGCCGTGTGTGTGCTGGGCACCGAGACTCAGCTGGATGTCTACGGGTGAGCAGGGACATTCTGGGGGCGGGGGACAGGCCCCCTGACGCTGGAGGAGCAGGTTGTGCAGACACAGGACGTGTGGTTGGCTCAGGCTTCGGGCTGCAGCCTCTGTAGCCGTTGTCCGGGGAGATGCTGGAGGGGTTAGACCTGAGTGGTCCTGGGATGAGCCTGGACTCAAGGCGAGGGTTCCCCAGGGCCTCACCACAGATGAATTATCACAGGGCACAGGACCCTCCCCTTTCAGCACTGAGACAATGGAGCTCAGAGAGGGTGTGTTACTTGCCGAGGTCACACAGCAGGTGTGCCCTGGAAGGAAGGCTAGGCCCTGGACTTCATGACCCACACCTGGTTCCTGGTGCAGTTTGTTACCTCCCCACCTCTCAGCCAAGCCTCCCTCCATGGGTGCGTAATAACCCACGTGTGATGGGATAGGTTCTGGCGTGAGAGAGGGTGAGGCGGGAAACCTGTCCCTGCTGTTGGCCATCTGGGTCTGCAGTTGGCCTTGGCCAACTGAGCCTCAGGTCCCTCGTCTGTGAAATGGGGTAATACCCACTCCATAGGGTGGTTAGAGGGATTAAATGTGAAAGACCATGGAAGTGTGTAAGTACTTAGCACAGAGCTGGACATATTGCTGGTGGTTATTCATCCATCCATCCATCCATCCATCCACCCAAGAAATACCAACTGAACGCCTACTATGTGCCAAGCCGGCGCCAGGCTCTGGTTACACAAAATGGTCTAGCGACGCTCAGCAAGTGCACATGGTTAGTGTCATTGTTATCAGTAATAGTAGTGGCCCCCGGCTTCCTCCCTCCCAGGCTGGACATCTGTGGTCCTAGTATGGTGCCCACACGAGTGTCTGGGACATTTCCTTCAAAGTGTCACTGGCTGTCGGACCCTGGGCCATGGTAGAGTAGCAGTAAAGGTCTGGGGTGCTGTCTGGAGCTGTGGAAGGGAGGCAGGAGACGGAGAGGTTGAGGGATGAAAGGAAAAGACAGGCCGATGTCATCTGAGGCCACCTGACTCTTCTGAGAGTGAGCTCCTCCTTCAGTGAGACTTTCCACGCCCCGTCCACTTCCCACGACAATGGCTGACGTTTCCACCCCACTGCCTACACGTAACTCATTCATCAGCCTTATGAGGCAGGCAGGGCTCTTATTTCCATTTTACAGAAGGGGAAGCTGAGGCTCTGTGAGGTCCAGTAAGCCCCCGAAGCCACAGGGCTCGTAGGTGAGGGAGCCAGGATTCAAACGCAGGCAGCCTGGCTCTGGGGCCCCGCCCCCGTGCTTCCTACCTGCTCTTAACAACAGCCCCCCAGCCCGCACGGTTATCCCACCTCCTGTGCAGCCACCAACCTGACTGTGGCCTGAATTCTCTTGCGGAAACACAGATGGGGTTGGTACCACCTCCTCCCCAGCACTGCTCCCCTGACCTCCTCCCAGCACGCACGTGTTCCACACCCCTGTTCCAGCCATGCCCTCTGCCACTGGGCTCAGAGCCCCCAGGGGTAGAAAGGGCCGTAGAGGCAGGAGCAGACCCGGGGGGGTGGGCACCACGTCCAGAGCTGCCCTTACAAATGCTGCTTGTGATTTTCATCCTGCATTTGGGAAGTTCTTTTCCTGTAATGGGAAGCACGTTGATTATATTCAGACAGAATCCCACCGACTTGAGATGACTATTGAAACCTGTCGAGGGCTTTCTGTGATGCTTGTGGCTGGAGTCAGGGAAGTACCATGACCCCGGCTACTATGTGCCAGGTCCTTCTGTGATTTCTAATGAACATCATGCCCATTTTAGAGATGAGTAAACTGAGGTTTCAGGGTCATGCAAATTGAAGGTGAGAAAGCCAGGAAATTCAAACCCAGGACGTCTGACCCCAAACTCACTTGCTTCCCTAGCACCCATGGCCTCTTGAGTGCTGTGGCGCTGGCCTCGCTGGGCACTGCTGCCCGGTTGGTGGAGCTCACACAGCTTCCAGAGGGCTTGGAAGGCCTGGAATGTGCGTGGGGGTCTGGACGTTGCCAACCACGGAAGATGGCGGGTGTTGGGATGCTGCAGTCAGGTGGTTTGTTCTCTTCCTCCCAGTGTCTCCTTCTCAGCAGATGGCCACTCAGTGTGACAGCAGGGAACATGGGCAAGTCTCTGAGCCTCAGTTTACCCATCTGTAAAATGGGAACATTAGCATGCACGCTGCTGGGGTGTGGTGAGGCTTCAACCACACAAGGCCAGGCGAGTGTCCACAGAGCAGTCCCCCTTCCCGTAAGGATTGTGTGAGCCACTGAATGCAATAGTTGCAGATGCTAGGTTCTATCCAGCCTGGGACCGTTGGGAAGGAAATGCTGGATTCAGGAGTTGGAGGGATGCGGTCACTTGTCCGGGGCTCAAGCTCTCAGTGCTTCCTCTGCAGAAATTACAGGAAGATCAGCTCCGGATTGTCTTATAACAGCATGCATGGTTGCTCCCCCCATTCACGGTGAAAACCCCCTTCTGTTTATGAAAGTCCCTTGTTTAGGGACCTGAGAAGGTCTGGAAAACAGCCAAAGGAAAGAACATACATTCCAGGTCCAAACCCAGTGGCGCCACTTCCCAGCTGGGCCTCCCTGCTCTGAGCCTCAGTTTCCCCCTCTGGCAGAGAGGGTGGTTATCAAGCGCTGGCAGGTGGCAGACCCGCCGGTCTGCACCCTTCTCCCCGCCCCTGGTGAGGAAGCCACGTGGGGCCGAGTGAGCCGAGTGAACAGGCCAAAGGCCAGGCACTGCAGCTGCCCCTACCTTGGCCCCCGGTCTCCCTCTTCTCATTGCTCTTTGGGCTCCTTGTCCATTTTCCTGCTGTACCAAACACACAGCGTGTCCCTCTCCTGTCCCCTCCTCCTGCCATGGCACCTGGGCAGCTGGGGAGGCCTGGCTTCTCACCTCGGCTTTGTGGGCATGAACTTGAACAGCTGTGCACAGACTTTGGCAGAGAAACAAGGGCGTTTCCTACATTTCGGTCTGTCCAGGTCGGTGTGTAACCCACAGAAAGGCCCCTGGTTCCAGCGCAGTGCCCCTCAGCCAGGAACTCTTGTCGGGCACAGGCTGAGCGCCCCGTCACTACTGAGAGGCCCCCAAACCTCACAACAACCTAGGAAGCAAGGAAACCTCATTTCCATGAGACCAGGCTTCCCTCATGACCCAAGTCACGTAGCCTGTCCGGAGCAGCCCAAGCTGGTCACCACTCTCCAGCCCTTGGAGATGGCCTGCTGCACACCTCTCCCCCCTGTCCCCCGGGCTGGCCTGGGACTTCCCGTGGGGCACCCCTGCTGGCCTGCAGGCGAGTGTCTGAGCACAGGCTGCTCCGGGGGCTGGAGTCAGAGGCCCGAGCCATGGTTGGTACACCTGGCTGGCTGGTATAGACAGACAGGGCCCCTGCACTGGGCTGTGCGGTGCGGTGGGAGGGGTAGTTCGAGGACTCTGTCCACACTGACCCTGGCTATCTCCCCAATCCAGAGAGTCAGTGCGCCAAGGCCCAGGTTCGGTGTCCCCATGGGGAACGACAACCCAGCCATCCTGCTCCTGGCCCCCGTTGGGGGCGGACCAGGCTGGGAGCACGTGGTAAAGCCAATGCCTACACCGAGGGGTGGGGACAGGCAGGGACACCCATTAGTGGAGTTCAGTAGATGTAGATTGGTGTCCTTGTCAAGGAAGACTTGGAGGAGCCCGCAATGGGACCCCAGATCCTCCGGCTGAGGAAATCACCCTCCACCTAGCCAGGAGCCCCTGGGACCACAGAGCTTGCCCCCACCCCCACCGCCCGTTCCCCCAGCTCAAGGTCTGGCACACAGTGTGGCCACGCACACCTGGGGAGGGTGCAGGGGTGCCGTGAGGGGCTCAGTGTGACTGCAGTGTGGGGAGAATGTAGGGGCGGGGCGGGTGTAGGAAGCGCGCTGGCAGCACCCTGACCCTGTGACAGAGCAGAGAAGTGCAATGCCTAAAGCTGAGCTTGGGGAGGTGTCTTCAGCCCTCTGCCTCAGTTCCCTCACCTGTGAAATGGAGGGAAGCTCAGCACCCACCTGGCACGTTGGTGGTGAAAACTGAATGAGCTGATGTATGGAAAGAATGCGTACAGGGCCTGGAGCAGAGTGAATGCTCTACAAATGCTCGCTGTTCCTGAAGGCTAAGAACTTGAGCTTGACTTTGTATGGATGGCATGAGGGCTTGAGCTGGCGTGGGGGCAACACATGAAAGGAAACCGGAGACAGAGTCTAGGAAACTGTTGGTTTCATCTACTTCTTGGTTCTTCAAAAATGACTTCAAAAATTTGTCTCCTGGAAAAAAAAATCAAAATGTCCATCAATGATTGTCCTTAAGTGGTAAGATTCCATTCTTTTTCTAGGCAATTTTTCCTTCCTCCCTCCCTCCCTCCCTCCCTCCCTCCTTCCCTCCCTCCCCTCCGTCCCTCCCCTCCCTCCCTCCCTCCTTCCCTCCCTCCCCTCCTCCCTCTCTCCCTCCCTCCCTCCTTCCTTCCTCCCCATCTGCGTCTTTCCTCCTGTCTTCCTTGTTAGTCCTATATTAGCTATCCATCACTATGGGACAAATTGCCCCCGAACCCGGTGGCTTGAAACAGTAGTGGTTATTATCTTCCCGTTTCTGTAGGGCAGGACTCGGGTGTGGCTTAGCTGGGTCCTCTGCCTTGGGTCTCAGTGGCCGTGGTCAAGATGCCAGCGCAGCTCTAGTCATGTTGAGGCTTGGCTGAGGCAGGCTCTGCTTCCAAGCTTACCCATGTCATTGTTGGCAGCTTACTCCATCAAGGTGAGGAAACCAAGGAGAGGGGGGAGAGAGAGAGAGAGAGAGGGAGAGAAAGAGAGAGAGAGAGGACGTCTTTTGTAACCTTATCACAGAATGGACAGCTCATTCCCTTAGCTATTTCCCATTGGCTAGAAAGCTGTCATGAGGCCCTTCCCACCTTCCCAAGGAGGGATTTACACGAGGGTGTGAGCACCAGAGGTGGGGATTATTGGGGGCCATCT